GGTGGGTGGCCCTAGGTCTTTCAGGGATCCAAGCTTCTTCCATCTTATAGCACTGCCATCTTAAACACGTAACATCCAAGGTGGCTGCAGAAGGGTTAAGTCCTAAGGGTCTCATGGGATACTTTAGAGGACCTGAAGTGGCATATGTAACTTCTGCCCACATTCCACTAGAGATCCACCTAAACTGATCCACCTAAATCCACCTAAATCCACCTAAATCTAGTTTACTGGTAGAGGAAATAGGATTCATAAGAACTTGGCCAGTCTCTGCTACAGGACCATACACACATACACACACACACACACACTACTATCCCTTCTATACACACGCAGGAATATGAAGAAAGCTATAGGAGTGGATGAAGTCATTGAGGATATGAAGATAGAGTGAAAATTGAAGAGGAAAAAGTACAAGTAATAAGTGGAATAAGAGGTCTCACAAAGGATTCAGAGATATTTTTAGAGAACCTGGAAGAGAATCAGCCCTGTGTAGAGTTGAAAGTGCCAAGAGGAAGGGAGGTAGACTTTCCTGAGGAGGGAAAATGTCTGTTATTGCTGACTCTTGCTTTTGGAGACAGATAACATCATGATAATTAGAAAAGGACTTACACATCTATACCCCACCTCAAAACCATCATTAGCTTATCTTTACGAGTGGCTTGAAATCCCATATCTATCTGTCTGGCTTTCAATGCCTTCTTTGCTTCCCCAGCCTACCTGTCCACCCCTCACCATGCACCTCCCAGGTACCCAGCATATCCCATTCACTGGGGGTTGTTCATTATCTGCAAGCTCACTATACTCTCTCCCACCTTCATGGCTTTGCTTTTACAGTTTCTTCCACCCATCAAAGTCCTGGCTTTCCTCAAGTCTTAAATCAAATGCCACACCATCCAGGAATAAAGCCTTTACTGATTTTTCCCTGTCAACATCAACTTCCCCATATTCCACGAGCCTTTTGGTCCTTCCTCTACTTCAGCATGTGGAACCATCCACCTTGTATCAGTTACATATTCATGTGACTGTCTCCCTTAATAGACTGTGGGTTTCTTAAGTGTCGAAGCAGGGCCACTGACATGTACAGCCCTAGGACAAACCAGACAACACTAGAGTCTAGGTCAGGGGCTGGCAAATGTTTTCTGCAAAGGGTCATACGGTATTTTAGGCTTCGTAGTCCATTTGGCTTCTGTCATAACTACTCAGCTATGCCATTTTAGTGCAAAAATAGCCATATACAATATGTAAATGAATGAGTATGGCTGTGTTCCAATAAAACTTTATTTATAAAATATGTGGTGAGTGGAGTTTGATCCATGGGACATATTTGCTGCTCCCTGATCTAAGTGAACGACATTTTCTGGAGCATAGTGTGAATGGGGTCCCCTTAAGTGTAATCTGGGAAGTCCTGGAAAGGATTGATATGTTTCTTAGTCATCCTTGTATCTTTTGCCCCCACCTCTCACCAGCACCTAGTATAGTGCCTTCCATATAGTGGGCCCTCAATGTTTGTTTTTGTTATTCTGAATTAAATGTACCTGAAAAGATATCAACTCAGTGAATCATAACAGTATTTTGAGAGCTTAATTACCTTTGAAAACTATCTTGCAAGTTTGTAGTAATGTAGTTAAGGAAGGGATCATGTAAGCCCAAGAATCATAAAAAGAATGTGACAGGGAAAGATGTGAGCTAAAAACATCTAAGGATTAGCAGCCAAAGGGAGAGAATCTGACATCAGAGCTGGGTAAAAGCAACAAAAAGGCATTTCAATCCTGAGAGACCAGCACCAAGGGACATCACATCATATGTAATAGATGTCTCATAACACCCTCTAAATCCATGTGAATAATGCATTTAATACCGGCACGTCAATGCTAGGAAGATGTTCGTGATTTGGAGGAAGCTCAGAGACCACCAAAATGATTAAGAGACTGAAAAGATTCACTTATGAGCAGCTATAAGAGAAGCCAAATATGTGCTTGGCCTGCTGATAGCCAGAGGAGATGGGAAAAAGGTTTACAAGTTATTGAACCCTGTAAACACATGAAGAAGAGGAAGGATGGTTACCTCTACTGGACTTAGCTCTTGGTATGGACATAACTCAGGCATTGACAAATTCCTCTCATTATTGGATCTTAAAACATTCACAGGCCATCTGAATAATATATAACTGGAAATGCTGTGATTGGTATTACGGGAGAACAGGATTGCTCCAGAAGAACAAATGCAAGACAAATCATTGTTTATTAAGGAAAGAAACATTCGAGGAATGTTAAGTGTGCTGATAAAATAAAAACTCACTAGTAGTCCACTCTTAAAAGTATCAAATAATATGCAATTGTGGGTAATAGTATATAGTTTAGAATTGTTGAAATCAAAGCACAAAGATGCAAAGATAGGTAGATATTTCCTTTCTTCCTTCCTTCCTTCTTTTTTAATTTAATCATTCAGTCATTCAACCATTGATCCCTCTGTCCATCATTCATCCATCCATCATCCATTTATCCATCCATCCATCTATCCATCCCACATAACTAATGCCTACCCACTCTTTGCCAGGTCCTGTGCTGGTGTAACAAAAAGTAATACTTCACAGGGCCTACCCTCAAAACAAACAAACAAAGAAAAATCCAACAAAAACCCAAGCTTACAGTCTAAGGGTAGGTTCAGGGAAGCTGGTGGGCTAGGAAGGAACGGATGGGTTCAATAGGGAGTGACAAGGGAGCAAAGAAAAGTGGCCCCTAACCCAGGGAGAAAAGGGGAAGGTTAAGGAGGCTTCCCAGGGGAATTGATATCTGAGCCAAGTCCTGAAGGATTCTGAGGAATCCCTTAGACAGAATGGGAATGAGCATCCTAGGTAGGAAGAGTGATATATTCAAAGGGCTAGAGATAACAAAGTGCTAGACCGTTTTGCTACAACGTATGTGGAACTAACACAAGTAGTTCAGATTGTCTTAGACAAATAGTGTAAAGCAGGCAGTGATCTTAAGAATAATAATTGAGAAAAAAATAATAATTGAAATATATTAGGATTGTAGATGAATTTTTATTTTCCTTGTTAATTTTTGTCTCTTTCAAAATTTCTACATTAACAAAATCACACCCTTATATGGGCAAATAATTATAAACATTTACATAGTGTTTATTCTGTGTTTGATACTATTGTAAGCTCTTGACATATATTGAGTGATTTTATCCACATAACAATTCTATGAAGTAGGTACAATTATTGTTCCTACTTTACAGATAAGGAATGGAGGCAGAGAGAAGTTAAAGAACTTAATAAATTTATAGAGGTAGTCAGTGGTAGAGCAGCATTTCTTACTTGGGGCATCTTGCTCTAGAATCTCTGCTTTTATGTCCTCTGTGCTGCTGCTAATTTTCTAAGTCAAGAGTCTATTTTCATATCGTTTACTCCTGTAACTCATCTAAAAATCAATCTAACAAATAATCAGAGATATAGTCAAACATTTTGGGGGAAGAGTGTTCATAACAAAATTTATAGTCACAAAAATAAGATAGAAAATAACCTGAATGTTCTATAATGTGGAATGATTAATCATGGTACAGACCATTATGCAAGCATTGGAAATTATGACCTAGAAGAAAGTTAAATAATGTGGGAAATACTCACTATAAAGGTCAAAAGGAAATGCAAGATACAAACTGTATGATTCTAGTAGTATGTTTGTGTGTGTTTAGAAAGAAAATCCACTAGTCAAACTGAGTTCCAATTCCAGTCTTCACTCTGTCATGTATTACTTTTTTTTTTTTTTTTTTGGTAGAGACGAGGTCTTGCTATTGCTCAGGCTGGTCTCGAGTTCCTGGCCTTAAGCAATCCTCCTACCTTGGCCTCCCAAAATGCTAGGATTACAGACATGAGCCAACACGCCTAGACTGTCACTTACAACTTTTGTGAACTTATTTTACCTCTCTGTACCCCAGTTTCCTCATCAGAAAATAGGGATAATACAGTTGTTGTAAGGGTTAAAAAATTAATGCATGTAAAATGCTTAAAATACTGGCTGGCATGCACTTGGTAACAGCTATCAAAAAAATAGGAAACCCTATTTAAAAATTAGAATTGGATAGTACACATTAAGATGGCCGTTTGATAAGTGTCCTTTGTAATATGGGATCTAATATTTTGCAACTTTGTCCAGTTACTTTCCCCCTTTACACTTTAACCAAACATTGAAGGATTATAAAAGTTTCTTTTTTAACCAGATACCTTCTCAAGGATAGAGCCCTAATATTTTACTTTGGTTGAATGCTCTTAAATTGTGAGGGTGTAAAACTATTTAGAGCTGTGTTTCCATGTTAGTTAGAATCAGTAAGATGAAGGAAATTATAAATTGGCTTTTGAAGGGCCTAAGGCCATACATAGTTTATTTCTCATCCAAGTTTCATAATTATCTTAATTATATTGATTTTTAAATGACAGGAAAAATTGAAGGAAGTGAGCAGTTTTAATAATAGTGTCCAATCTATTTTATCTCAAAGTTTTGTTTTTATTTCTCTTTCTTTCATTAAGGGATTTTTTTTAGAATTTTTTAAATTGACAAGTAAAAATTGTGTATATTTATGGTGTACAACATGATGTTTTGATATGTGTATACATTGCAGAATAGCTAAATCAAGCTATTTAACATATGTATTATCTCACACACTTATTTTTTTGTCCTGAGAATACTTAAAATCTACTCTTATTGAGAGAATTCTTGAAGTCATCTTTGGAGCGGGTCTCAGGAATAAAGCTACTTGAGCAGGTGGGTTATAGTGAGAGAGATGGAACAAGGGTGGGTGTGGAACTTCCAGCTCTCTGCCCAGAATCTTCAAAGTAAAATCCATGCATTGCTTAAGCACTTTCTTAAGAAAGGGCTAGAAAATCCTTGAGCAAGGAAATGGGGTTATTTTGCTGCTCACACCATTAAGAATCTGGTTTCCCGGCAAGCTTTCATGGTGTCTCTCTCTCTCTGTCTCTCTGTCTCTCTTTTTCTCAGGTGTCCTACGTGAAAGCGATTGACATCTGGATGGCGGTGTGCCTTCTGTTTGTGTTTGCTGCCTTACTGGAATACGCAGCAGTGAACTTTGTCTCCAGGCAACACAAGGAGTTCCTGCGCCTCCGGAGAAGACAGAAGAGGCAGAATAAGGTACAGTTGGCCCTCAGTGCAGACAAAGTCATGTAGAGCTTGAGAGCTTGAGGTGGTTAACTAGGCAATGTAATCGAGAAAACAGAAGCACACACAATGAGCAAGAAGCTAAGGGTGATTTTTGTCCTGATTTGTTCTAGTACATTGAATTACTACTGCTCAGGTTAGTCCTTTAAAATTGAGGCAGAATTGTCAGATTTAGCAAATAAAAATACAAGGTATGCAGTTAAATTTAATTTCAGATAAACAACAAATAATTTTTAGTTTAAGTATGTCCCATGCAATATTGGAGATATACTAAAAATTGTTGTTTACCCAAAATTCAAATCTAACTGAATTTTCTACATTTTACCTGGCAGCCCTAATCGGAGATATATACTCAATTTGACAAAGTTACTTTAAAATCCTGGTTGTTTCGAATACTGATAATTTGTGTGTGTGTGTGTGTGTGTGTGCGTGTGTGTGTGTGTGTGACTCTGAGTATGTACATAACTGATTTGACTTTTTTTTTTATCAGTTGCTGTGTCTTTATGTAAATAATGCCTTACCCATGTAGATTGCAACTTGATTAATCCAATCAGACAGATCTCATTTTCTTAGCTTAAACTTTAATGCATAAACCTAAGCTTTACACTGTCCAGAGGCTCGAGGTTTGAACTACATAACTCGAGATCTCCAGTTCCGTGGTTGCCAAACTTGCCTACACATTAGAACCATCTGGGGATTTTTCAAAACTCCCAAGTCTTGGCCACACCTCACACCAGTGAAATCCCAGTCTTGGGATGAAGCATAGGCATCAGTATTTCTGCGCTCCCCAGGCAATTCCAGTATGTAGACATGTTTGGAATGCACTGCTCTAATTTATAACCCAGTTTCATATAGAATACCAGACGGCTTGCTTCTGTTTTCCTTTTCAAACTCTGGGAGAGAAACATCCTCTTTGATGTGGAGAATGTTACCACCTGTAATAATATGGCTAGAGATCTGAAGTTAAAATTTTATGTACAGTAGAGAGATATTTAAGTCATAGTTATGTGCTACTCTGCTGGAACGAAAATAAAGATGTTTACTGTCAATATTAATGCTTCCAAATATCTAGATGTAAAGCAGAACGTTTATTGAGAGTTAGACATTGCTTACATTGGGGAGTTTATATGTGTATGACTTGAGTCCTGACTGCATCTACCAAAAGGTCCCTGCATATACTCTGGGCTGTAAGAAAGAAATATCCTGAGAGCTGTCCTCTTATTCGTTGCTACCTCTCAAGAACATTTTATTCTGCCACAGCCTAAAGAAAACAAACAAATATCTTCTTTACTGTATATTACCTATTAATATTGAGCCTTTCTCAATTTTCTCCTCCCTACCTCCCTGATGGTTTTAACCATTTCTTCAACTTCATCCACAGAAGTTCAGCACACAGTGGCGCAACTTTAGGGTCACTGGTGCCACCCAGGATATATTATTAGATTGTGATAATATTTTAGCACATAAACAGTACAGAGTTAATGCTGTAACTACCTATTAGTCAGTGGATGGTTTAAATCATTCAACAGCCCCTTTTAGGTGCTGTAATATTGTCCAGGCTTCCCCAAAGTTACCTTATTATAATAAGACTCACCTGGGACCCTTATGCAACATATTAATTCTCAGTGAACTCCCGTGCAGACACTGATTCACAAGGTTTGGGGTGGAACACAATCTGTACTCTTAACAAGCACTCTAGGTAATTCTTATGATGACATAAATTTAAGAAACGCTCTCCTGGCTTACTGACTGCATGTTCTCCTAGACCAGAGATGAAAAATGAGTTTCATTTTGTTTTCCAATCCTGAATAATTGGTAGGACTTTTTGGAATGCTGTGTGAATGATTCTTAGGCTATATCTGGGCTATGTGGGAATGAGTTCTGTGATTGATTATCAATGTCTGGCATTACAGAATAACAGACATTAAAGACTAGTTTAAAAACAGTATAACTAATGAGTGAACAGAGGGAAAAAATATCGAATAATAAAAAGACAAAATCAATCTCAAAAAGGGGGGAATGAAGAACAAGACAGATAAAGAGAAAGCAAATTGAAAAGTAGTAGATTAAACCCAAATATATCAGTAAATATAATAAAAGAAATCAGACCAAATATTTCTATTAAAAAAGATTGTCAGATGAAATAAAAGATTAAATAAAACTCAACTCTACCCTGACTGCAGTAGACATACCTATAACATAAGGATACAAAAAGATTGAAATTAACTGTGGATAAAGATATACCATGCAAACACTAACCAAATAAAGCCAGTTTAGCTCTATTAATATTAAAGAAAGTAGACTTTAAGACAAAAATTATTACTAGAAATAGAATAGAGATATCTCATAATGAAAAGGATTGCTTCAATAAGGGGATATTATAATTATAGATATGTATGCCACTAATAACATGGCCTCAGAATACACAAAGATTAAATTGACAAATATAAAGAAGAAAGAGAAGAACCCACAGTCATAGTGAGAGATTTTAACACACCTCTTTTAGTAACTGATAGGGAAAAAAAGCAGACAAAAAGATCAGTAAGGGTATAAAACATTTAACAATATAATTAACAAATTCATTGCACCTACAAGTGTAGTAAACATTTTCAAATGCAGAAAAAACATTTCAATAAGTTTACCATGAGCTGGAGCATAAAGCAAGTCACAATAAATATCAAAGAACTGAAATCATACAGAGTATGTTATCTAATTAAAAATCAACAATAAAATGATAACTAGAAAAATCTCCATAAATTAGAAAATAACATACTTCTAAAATAATTCAGGAGTCAAAAAAGAATTTACAATGAAAGTTAGAAAATATTTTGAATTGAAAGATAAATTATACATATCCAAATATATGAACTGAGCCAAAGCATGCTTAGTGAAAAAATGCATACTTCAAACACATATTTTAGAAAGATGGAAGGCCGAAAATCAATTATCTAAGCATCTATCTCATGAAGATGGAATGAAGAATAATAAATTGAATCCAAAGAGTGTAGAAGGGGGAAAACTATAAAAAACTCAAAGAGCAAAAATTAATGAAATAGAAGAATGGTCCATTGAGTTTATTAATTACCTTGCCATAAATAATTTCAGTTCAGTGTTTGGAAAGAAACTGGAATGTAGTACTTTAAGGATTAAATAATAGTAGGTGAGGATGTGGAGAAAGCAAGTACAGATTACTTGAGAATTTAGCTTTCAAGGGAAGAGAGGTAGGATAGAACAAATTTCTATACATTCTCACTCCCTGGCATCATCAGACCACTCACGCACCATGAATATACATATTTATTAATTCAACAAACATTTATTGAGCACCTAATATGCTAAAACAGGGAATTCTGAGAATACAGTAGAGAATGGGGGAGACAAAGAAGTAGGAAATGAGGTTGGAGAAATAGGTAATTTCAGGTTCATATAGTACTTTGCAGGCTAGCAGAAAGGATTGTATTTTATTCTAACTAATTGGAATCCACTGGTTAGTTTCAACATAGCAAATAGGCTACTACTAGGTGGATAGTCATGGGGTCAAAAGTAGCAAGAGCAGATTTGTTAGGAGGCTATTGTAGAAATTGGTGAGAGATGTTGGTGGCTTAGACTATGGGAATAAAGTGATGTGGTCAGGTTCAGGATTCATTCATTCTGCAAATATTTATTTGCTTCCTACTATGTGCCAGAAACTGTCTAGATTCTTAGAATACATCAGTAGGACAGACAAAATGCAATCTTTTGACGAAACTTAAATTCTAGTGGTTATGCTTTGGAGCTAACACCAATAGGTCATGCTGATGTATTTGATATGCGGAGGTGAGGAAAAGAAAGGAATTGAATATGACTCTGATTTTTGGCTTAAGTAACTCGGTGGGTAGTTTTACCATTTATTAAGATAGGGACTATTCAAAAGAAGCAAATTTGGGGTAGAACTCAAGAGACGTATTTTGATGCTATTAAGTTTAGATGCCTATGAGACATCCCATTAGAGTAGGCAAGCAATTAAATAGATATACATGCTCAAGAAAGAGAAAAAAATGTGGAAATGTATATTTGGGAGTGACCAGAAAACAGATAATGTTTTAAATCCACAAAACTGGGTGAGATCACCCATTGAGAGAATGGAAATACAAAAGCTCTGACAATGGAGCACTCCATCATTTGGAAAGCCTATCTGGAGTGGGATGAGCAGAAAAAGGAAAAAAAGGAAGTGGTGGCAGACTTTAGATATCACTTGTAATTGCCTTTGCTGTGCAGGGAACATATAAGATAGTATGGAAGAAAATGTGCCAGAGTCTGTGTGCTTCATCACTGTACAGACACAATGGGAGAATGGGCATGGTTGCTAGTCAATTGGTAGGTCTGATGATGGTAAGGTGTAGGAGCTACTAACTAATAGCTCCTATCATGTCCATGAATTGTGAGGCTGGTTATCAGCTGAGAGTGTGGTAGAAAGAACGAATGTAGAAGGTTTGAGGAAGAAGGAACAAGTATTACATAGAAGTTTGGGAGAGTGAAAAAGCCACCGTTCCAAGAAGAGAGATGGGGCAGAATGCTGAGGCAGAGACAGCAGGAGTGCCCATATGACATCTGTGGTTATGAATTAAAGTGTGAACAATCAGAAGATATGTGTTTCCCCCAAGCAATTTTCCAGGCTCAGGTTCAGATACAGGAATTTAACTATAATTAAAGTTTTGCCAGGTGAGTAGGAAAGTGGGTGGAAGACAAGTAGAAGATGATAGAGGAATTGGAGGAAGAGAAAATGTAAGGGAGGAAGGGAGAAGTGAGGGAGGGAGGGAGGGAGAGAAATGGAGTTAAAGGTTCTTGCAAGGGAGTGGTTACAGTGATGAGCCAGAAAATCTAAGGTGGATATAGAGGGGAGAACATCAAAGAGACATTGACTGTTCATGGATTTGCCATTTCACCGAGGTAAATGAAATGTTGAAATAGGAATAGTAAAGTAAGTGAGCTGG